TGGTTCCTTAAACATGACCCTAAATATAGAGCTTGCTCTTGCTCCCCTCCATCACGTACATTTAAACGTGCAATTGCTTTTCTGTTACAAGTAAAAACTCTCAACAAAACAAAGCATATGCCTGTCAGAACAAGGAGAACAAGTAGTTTCACTGTGATGATTTGTTCCAATTCGCACAATTTTGCCACTGGAAGTAAGTGGATGCAACAGAGACAAGGTACTGCAGCACAGTGTAGGATGAGCTGTACTGTTACTTCAGTTTTGCCTCTAAAAGTACAGTAACACCAGGGTTAATGACGGTTTTTAATGATCAATCCAAGCCCTTACAATAAGGTTCAGTTAAAAATCATACATTGGGTTGCTTTTTAATAAATCCTAAGAGAAACAATCTACGTTTTGAGGCACAGCAGCTAACAAATTTTATGAGCTACTAACAATATTGCAATCTAAATAGACTCTCAACTTTTTTATTTCGAAAAGGAGTTTAAGATTGTCATATTCACAATCCAAGTCATCCTATTTTACATAAAGTAAGGATAAGCCTTCTTAGAGGTAAGACTATTATTCACAGCAATAAAGAAAATTATTCATCAGATGATGATAGGTCTCATTACTTTGTTTGAATGGCTGCAGTTTTAAAATAAGCCACCAGCAGGAAAAGTTAGACTATTTCATCGTACAGTCTTTCTAAGCAGCAAGCTATTTCTGGGCTACCAGTTTATCCCACTATTCTCTACAAGATCATTCAATAACAACTAGTGAAAGCAACACCACACATCCACGTTTTGCTGTTCGAGCATGATTTACACTACCCACCAAATCCCAAAGCACTCCTTGCAGATTGGTTTGCCAGCATTAAGACAAGACCATACCTCTGAACCTGCAGTTAAAACACCTAACCCAGTATTAAAAAAGACTAATAACAATATTAAAAAAAAAAAAAAATCAAACTACTAAGGAAAACTATTAATACTTGAGCACCATTACTATTATCTTTCTTGAAATTCTCAGGCAGCAGAGGCAATATGGTGAAGCGCAACTGCTGTCTAAGCATTAATGAAATCTAAAAAACCTCTAAGAAATATTAAGTTTCCTAGCTTTCAACGACCGCTCTGCATCCATTCAGCATCCCTTTCTGCAAGAGAAAGTTATTATACCTGGCTACCTTAAGAACGAACAAGCTCTTTGTTCTAATTATTAACAGGAAAAATAAGACTGTTATACAACTACTGAACATTTAAACTTGAGCTCATAGTTCTCTTTGAGGTTCCTAGTGTAATGAAAATAAGGTTTGCTGATATGCTTAAAAGTAATTCTTCGGACAACAAATTACAGGTCAATTTTAAAAGAAAATTTAAGAAACTGCTGACCATCAAAACAGTATTGACACTAATCAGTATCAACCCGAAAATCCCGATTTCCTTCCCTGACTGCAAAAATGAACCCAAAGAGAAGTTCTAAGACGACACTTGACAGTTTAGTTTTTGTGGTGGTGAGTGGAGGGTGGGGGGGGGGGGGGGGGGGGGAAGAAGCGGGAGAAAAAGGTTCATAATTTTCAAAATCAATGGACTTAGCTTTTGTTATATTTCACTGTCAATGCAAGTCCACTGTCAAGGAGCGCTAGTATCCAAAGCAAAACTGACTGTACATAATAAATCCAAATCTTTTTTGCTATCCAAGTAAAACTACACACAGCTGGCATACAGAAGTTCAGAAAAATTGATTACTTTGGTTTTCACTCAATCTGTTTAACAAATTTACAACTTACACCCTTAACAACAATAAAGTTAGTCCCCTAATTTAAGTAATTGCATATAGAGAAATCAAGTCATTGCAATAGTTTTTCCAAAAGCACAAAATACACCAGATAAGAGCTAATGGCACCACAAAGCAAGCTCAGTGAGTTGGTTCTACCAAGCAGAAAACAAAAACACCCTACCACACAGGTCATCACACAAAGCTTTAAGAATCACCTAAATCTTAGGGTTTTGTTTTGTTTTGTTTTGTTTTGTTTTTTTACCTCCACACATTCTTTTCTAAAGGACAAGGAAATGTAAGCAAATACACCTCCTAATTGTATGCAAATGCATGCAACATCTCAAGCAGTTTAGAGACTGTTTTCAGAGGCTGTAAGTTTGCTCCCACTTCTGAGACTTGTTTTCAAGCAATGAGCAAAAGCTGGTTCCCCTCCCTCCCCCTTCATAACAAGGGAAAAGATACAGAGAAAGTTAAAAAAACCAGCAAGTATTACAGCAACCCATAAGACAAACTCCATAATGCAAGTCAACTGAAAGCTTTTTAGAAAGAGTTGTGCAGCAGTCATTGTTCTATTGGTAACTTTAACTGCATGGCTAGGGAGATTATCAAAAAAAAAATTGCAAGAGTTTTAACAAACACAGGTTTCACATACTTAAAACATAGGTCACTATCTTGCCTTTTAACTTTAATTTATTCTGCAATTCACCCGGAAAAATTGGTCTCTTACATACTCATTTACATTCAGAGTCACACACTCAGCATTAGTTTTCTTTACAGACCATACTTTAAAAGGAATATTTTCATTTAAAAATCTCACATTCTTTAAGAAACATTCATAGTTTTTATTCGTAAGTTTTGTGACAGTTTAACAAAACACTGCCTATTCTAACAAGCCCTTTACATAACATAAGGGGTAGAGGAGTACTGCAGAGTTGAAAATGCATACGTATATTCGAGAAAGTTAATGCTGTTTTCAGAAGTTAGGGGACCTCAAATAGTCCTTTTTGCACGAATTAGACACCAGACAACATAAGGAGACGGTAATTTTAATTAATCTTATATCATACTATTTTAGCAGCAGCTTATTGTGAGCTTACAGATAGGATGTTCACGCTTTGCGAAAAGCAACTTCCTTTTATAAGGGGAAGAGCCTACATCCCGATTTATCAAAAACCCCGCAGGCAGGATAGGTTTGATGGAGGGGAAAAGTATTATGTACATGCTTTTAGGGGAAAGTTGGGCTTAGTGGACCAAAAGCAGCCCAGAGCTGGGATTCTCCAGCACCAGGAAGTTTCTATAGGGCCTGAGGAGCATGCGCCGTGAGCTCCGCGGTCTCCCTATGTGGCAAGAGTGCAGAGGCAACAACCAAACCAATAATAGAGACAGAGAGCAAGAGCAACAAGCACCTTCCCCTCCATATCCCTACAGCCGCCTCCTCGCAGCCCTTCTCCAGGCCACTCTCTTGCCCAGGCCCTCCCACATCCATGGCACAGAGCAGAAATTAGAGAGTCTGGTAACCAAACCGTTGCTGCTCCTAAAGCGAGAGGAGAGGAGGAGCAGCTTGAAAGAAAACAGCGGAGTGTATATAACCCATCCCTCGGCCTCACAGGGCCCTCTCACAGCTCAGGTGGCAGCGGGGAAGGAGCAGGCAATGAGCTTATCCCCCCCCCCACACCCCAACTACGAGAGGGGGTGGAGAGGAGAGGGATGGAGACTACACACAATGGATGTCTGTGTTTGTGGGGAGGAGATTTCCTACAATAGCAGCAGTGGGGAGGGCTCAGGGCTTCCCTTTCCTCTGCTCCCCAAACCTCACCCCACATGCACAGAGAGGGGGGAATGAAAGAGGATCAGGACATTGCCTCGCCC